ACTTTTTTTTTTTCTTTTAAAAGGAATAAATAAAGTTTTTTTTTTCTACCGCCTTCTCATTCCTCGTCCACCGCGGCCCCCACGAAAACCGCCTCCACGGCCTCGGCCACCCATGCCGGCCTCTCCTTGTGCACTCTCAGACTGCATAATCAAAAACAATAATCGATTAAAATTCACAAAAAAAAAAATGTGGTTTAGGTTTGGTCTAACTGAGTATGTTTTACGAAAGAGACTAAAATCACAACTAGCCCATTCGCATAATGTCTCTGTTTTACAGATTGCCATTCGAATAAGAAATTGTCTGAAAAAAAAGGGTTCGAATTACCTTAGGGTTCTTCACAGTTTCGTCGACACTTAAGACGAGGCAAGCTGCTTCAGTAGCTGCGTTTATGGCATTAATCTGTGATGCAAGACATCATTAATCTTTCAAAATTAGAAATACACTAGTACAACACCCGTGTATTACACGGGTGCTTGTTAAAAAATTATTCTTAAATTTTAAAATTAATGAGAAAATTGTTCTAAATTTTATTTACTTGTTTACAAAAACAATGTATATTATTATATATTTTACAATGACATTTGTTACTTGCGCGACTTACATGTGTATCATATAACTACTTGAATTATAAATATATTAAATGATAAATGAATTTATTTTTCTAATTAATATTAAAAAATAATTTTATTATTGTTATAAAGATAAATATAATTTATTTATTTTTATACATACAATGGATGTTAAATCGAAGCTCATCAAGAGATGAGTAATTTGATATATTATATATGTAAAACTGATAAAAAATACAAAAGTTATTAACTTTTAAAATACATTTACAATTCAATGGTTATAATAAATGATATTAAAATGCAATTAATACATATAACATGACCATGGATAATCTGGACCTAATTATTTTTAGATTGGAAGTAAATTAAAATATACCCAAGCCTAATAACGAAGCATGTAATTTTGCCACAGATCCCGAAACATGCGAACCTGCCACTTAGGCTCAACATGTTTTGAGTTAATATTATATAGTGGGATGAGTGAAAAGCAAATATTTTATAATTTTGGAGTGCGTATTTATTTATTTATTTATTTTTGCTATTTTTACTTAAACAAAACTTTCGATGTAGAAATTGGAAATATTCCCTACTAGAAAAGAAAAAGAAAAAAAGAAAAATACCTTCACAACAGCCGGTTCCCAAACAAAGTTGGCGAACGAATCAGCAATTCCGCCCGTGTTAATGTCTACACCATAAGGTGCACCTTCCCCTGTTTATAGTTCGAAAAGAATCAACAAAAATTACCAAATTTACATCTAACATATTTTTCAATGCACTTTTAAATTAGCGATAGCACTAGCAAACACCAACAAGGACATCTAAGAGTAATCGAAATCCCGACTGTCCCAAAAAGTTTTAGGGGCTGATTGGATATAAGTTATTTTGGATTTGTTGGATAACTAGAGTTAACTTTGTAAAAGGTGATTCGGTTAGGTTTAAGTAGGATTTTGAGTTTAAAATAGCTGATTTGATGTACAAGTAGGAAAGAGGTGATTGAAATGAAGGATAGTTAAAACTAATTTAAGTGGATGTATATTAATTAAAATTGAAGTGATGTGTGAGACTAATTGATTGGTATTATTTAATTATATTGATAATATTGAGGAGGGACTGGTTGAGTTAAAGATTTTGAGTTAAAAAAATTATCTGCTCGGATAATGTATAACAAATCAGTAGAGGCTTTACCGGATGGAAGGGCATGTTTTTGTCTCAGTTTGTTCAAAACATCAGTTGCATCAAAACCAGCATTATCGCAAAGTTGCCGTGGGATGATCTGCATCAAGACAACATACATTAAAAGACTAATAGCAAAGATCGAACCAAAATAAAAGGAAAGCGACTATATTATAAGAATCAATTATCTCGATAACAAGGCAAAGTGGATTATGCTGGAAGTTATTGGTCAACTGTCAAGTAACCATTGCCGCAAAAGAGTAACAACTTAAAGACTCACATTCCGAAAGAAACAAAAAGAAAAGATATATACGATAATAATTTTCTCAAATAATTTACCTCAAGTGCTTTCGCATAAGAATTTATAAAAAGCTGCGACTTGCCAGCAATGGTGCGTGCATGTTGTCTCAAGTACCTACTTATTTCCATCTGTAAATACACACCTTTTAGTCGAAACTTAAAAAAATCCATAAAATGCAATATGAGAACTTTCAAAAGCTTTCAAAAGCAGAAGATTCATACATCTATTGCACCACCACCAGCTACAACAGTCGAGTTCTTAAGAGCCCTTCGAACAATCATAATAGCATCATGCAAACTTCTCTCAGCCTCCTCAATAAACTAAAATCCATCAAAGTCATTAATCAGAATCACTTCAGAAAGCACGAACAAACAAGAGGATTATCACAATTTTTTTACAAACCTGGTCCGCGCCCCCACGAAGAACAATAGTGGCGGTCTTACCAGACGGGCACCCGCTAAATATATTAAAACGCTCGTTTCCAACTTGCCTCTCTTCAAATAGGTCACAAGATCCAAGAACCTTTTTCCAAACAAGGAAAGAAAAGGAATTTGTCAGATGAGTTGAAGGAAAGTTTGATGTGACTATTTAGGTCAGATCAGACACAAGATATAGGAATGTAATTTTGTTACTCGTTTATTTATTTATCTATCGTTAGAAGTATTATGCAGGAAAGGATAGTAATCAAGAGAATAATAACCTCTTCAATGACATTGTTCACAGTTGTTTGAACAGTTCCACCGGTAGCTGCAGCAACTCGCTGTAAATCTTCTTCAGTAACACGGCCAGCACAAAAAATATCCCGATCTGCAAAATACTGCAAGGAGAAAAAAAATGATGAGGCTCACCAATAGAGATTTTTTCCTTAATTATGACTTGCAGCATATTCATTTTCCATAAAACATTGTTTGCAATGATCCAGAAATAAATGTAATGGAAGATGAACTCTATTTTGGCAAGTACTAAGAGAGACTATAAAGTAAATAGGCTGAAAATAGTACCTGAGTACCCAGATCACCAATAGCAAGCCGAGACAAAACAACCTTAGCTCCACTCTTTACACATTTATCCAATTTATCATAAATGATATTCCATTCCGCATCTACAATTGACTGATACTGTAAGGGATCAGACAACCTGAAATTGAAAGAATTTCATCATAGCAAGAATTTCATGAACACAACAAGCAACTTTATAGGAGATAGGAGATATGAAGTGGCAAAAAACCAAACCTGATTTCAGCATTTTCTTTCTCTGATTTCAACTCCAATTCTATGTTTAGCAAAAGTATCTTTGGATTTACAAACTTTTTAGGCTGCTGCTCAAAACCAGCATATGAGAATGTCTTCTTGAAGGCAACACCATTCACAAGAAAAGAATCCCTCATTGTACCACCAGGAACCTAAAATAGTAAATCAATATGTGACTGTTACACGAAAGATACAAGAAGCATGTAGCATACTGAAAGTGATATGGTAGAGTGAAATGACACATTAACAAACTGGAAAACAAGACTGAAAGAATTAAGTCACAAGTTCCACTATGCATTGTAGGATAGTTCTCCATTGAACAGAAAGACATGTCAGCATCACTTGAAACATAATAATTTATCGATAAATTAGTCGTTCCAATTTTCCGGTAAAGAGACTTAGCGCAGTTATTTATATATGTTAACTGTCAGTTAAATAGTAACTTTTACTTTCTGCATATTTCTTAAGTACAAATGCAAACATTTAATGGATGTCTACAGTACTTTAAAAATTAAAAATGAGAATTATCATTCAATCAAGTGAATCGAGTAACCTATTATGAGATAAAACTCTAAAATGCTACTCACATTTTAATTCAAAAGCGTTGCCTCCAATCAAAACTATTCTAATCATAAACTACCCTGAGAATATTAAACTCTCACTCGTTAAGAACAATTAAAACTGCCAAAAGAAGAGAAGACAAATTGAACATAAGAAACCAGCAAATTCAAAACTATAGTACTCATAAACTAAATTAGATTTCTCCTAAACAAAAATGCAAGATTCAAAAGAGTTACAGTAAAACATAACAGTAATATACCTTTTTAATTCCAATCATGTTTAACCTATCATCATTCCCAATGGCAAGGACGGCATCCACCACCATAGTAGCAAAAAACTCCTTTTCGCCACCAATGAGCTTCGAAGATAGTGTTGTTGCAGCACATTTAGCCAGCAAACTCTTCTTTTCTTCCAAACTCTTCCCCTCTATGCTAGTAGCCAACTCCTTGATCTTCTCAATGGCCTGTAAGAACCGCCAAGGAGTCAGATTCATGACCAAACCCAAACAGAGGATGGAAAATTGTTAAAATCCCTACCAAAGAAGAAGCTGTCCGATAACTTCTTATAAGGTTTTGAGGGTGGACTCCATCTTCAACAAAAGGCTTCGCTTCTTTCAGAAACTCTCCTGCAAGAAGAACGACTGTAGTGGTCCCATCACCAACCTGCAGAAGAAGCAGAGAATAACTCAGTTAAGGAACTTTATTTAGTATTTTATTTTATATCCACTGCCAGGGGAGAGCCCGAAAATACAGTAAAACTAATAAAACAATAATCTACAGAAAAATAACAAAGAAAATAGTACCTCTGAGTCTTGGGACTTTGCAATATCAACAAGAATCTTGGCAGCAGGATGAATAATGTCGAGGAGCTTCATTATGGTGGCACCATCATTAGAGATGGTGGTGTTCCCCTTCTCATCGTGGATCAATTTATCCATGCCCCTTGGGCCAAGGGTGCTTCGCACTACATCGGCAACAGCCATGCACGCGTTTATGTTGCTTATCAGTTGTGGTTTCCCTTGAGATGTATCAGTCCCTTCCCTGAGCAGGATGATTTGTGGTTGCTGTTGATTGATCACAAGCATCACCAAAAACAGTTTGTTTTAGCACAATATTAATGGAATAAAATTGTTAGGCAAAAAAAACCCATTTCCACCAACAGAAAAATTATATTACTTTTGCCAATACAACCAGCCATAGTTAATGAATCAAGCCANGAACTTGAGCCAGGCAAGAAAAGCTAGATACCAAATCCTAAGACTACAGTTAAATTTGTTCAATACTTTTCCTGGACATCGTAAACTATTTAACAAACTTTCTACATGTTTTCTATGAATTCTATTTCCAGCTAACGAAAAAATGCTGCTGCTTGTCTTCTATTTTCCAACTTTTCATATCAAAACTGACCTTCAACTTTTCATAGCCTAATGACCAATCTAAATCATTAATGAATAATATGTGCAAAACCTATCTTAAGTTCATATAGTAAATCATTCTTCAATAGTTTCACATGACTACTTGTGAGCTTTCTAACTCAACCCTTCTCTTTTCCCAATCATTGGCATGGAATTGGTTACCTAGCAAGATCTAATTTTGACAACTGTCCAGCACACCCAAGGGAAAAAAATGTCCATAAAACAAGTAAATAAGTAAATTCTGCACAGCAGAATCACTAGTCTATTAGATGAGGTCCCACGATTTGCCTGAAAAGATTAAATCTTTAACTCATGATTCATCTGTTGAGGTACCCATTGGTTTGTTACTTGAAAGACGACAACGTTTCTCGACAGATATAGCCATTGCTATCATCCATTTTTTGGGTTTATTTTCTCATAATCTGAAGAAGAAACTGTCAAATCTAAACCAACTAAGCCAAAATGAAACTGATAAAGCACCCAAAATCCTACGAGCGATGAACCCAGCAGCAGTAGTATTCACACTCAATTCAATGCGAAGAACATGAATGTGCTTTTTCCCCTTCATAAAAAGCATATTCAAATACTTCGCAGACAGAGAAAGACGGATCGAGCTTACCAGCATGGCAGACATTGTTAGATTTGGCGTTCGTTTTTGGGAGTCCTTTGCTGAGATGAGAGTGAAGTGTGTACAGAAAGCTCTAGGGTTTTTCAAATCTATGGGTTTCTTCGGTCCTCGCTCGAATCTCTTACTAGGCACTAAGGTGAGCAAACTCGAGCTGAAAAATCGAACCCGACCGTCTAATTTGGTGCGTTTCAATTCGTTTTTTTTTTTCTATAGTGCAATTAAAATTTTATAAGTTCAATTTTTTATTTTGTTCGATTCGATGTGGTTTTTCACTAGACCACAAACAATTTGAAAATAAATATTAAGAAAAATGTGATAAAATTCAAAAATCAAGTTAAACCGTGCATTTCACTGCAATTTGATTCGGTTATTTTAATGTAAATAAACTTCAGTTCAAACTAGGTTTGGATTTTTTAATTTTGCGCAACGATTCTATTAATTTATTAATATATTCAGATTATCAATTTTTGTTGTTCGGTGTAGTTTTTTATTGAACCGCACCCTTGCTTACTCCTATGTTATGTGAGGTATTGGTTTTTCAAAAAATAAAAAACAAAAAAGGAGATAGCAAAAAAAGAAGAAAAAAATTATCAATAGATATGATATATATATATATATATATATATATAGGGATTGGTTCCAATGCATTCCATTATTTAAAGTGAGGACGTGAGACTCATTCCTAACCACAAGATTTAGATCTTGATTTAAATAATAATTCTTTATTTTTATTATTTAATTCTTTATTTTTAATTATTTAAATATTATTATGACCATTGACCGTTGACTCCGGCGTTGACTGTTGACTTCCGGTGTTGACTTCCGACGAAAATCGTTGACTTTCGTCGTTGACCGTTGACTTTCGGCGTTGACTTCCGACGTTGACCATTTGTCTTTTGTTATGTTATTTCTTTCTTGCTAGGTTAGTTGTGTTTTGTTGCTAGGTTAGTTATTTGTAGCTGCTAGGTTCGTTGAGTTTTGTTGCTAGATTAGTTGTCTTATGTTGTTAGGTTATTTTTTCTTGTGCCTAGGTTAGTTGTCTTTTGTTGCTACGTTAGTTCTTTCTTGCTGCTAGGTTAGTTGTCTGATGCTGCTAGGTTAGTTGTCTTTTGTTACTAGGTTATTTCTTTCTTGCTGCTAGGTTAGTTGTCTGATGCTCCTGGGTTAGTTCTTTCTTGCTGCTAGGTTAGGTCTGATGCTGCTAGGTTAGTTGTCTTTTGTTGCTAGGTTATTTCTTTCTCACTGCTAGGTTAGTTGTCTTTTGTTGCTAGATTATTTCTTTCTTGCTGATAGGTTAATTGTCTTTTGTTGCTAGTTTAGTTGTTCTTTCTTGCTGCTAGGTTAGTTGTGTTTTGTTGCTAGGTTAGTTGTCTAATGCTGCTAAGTTAGTTGTGTTTTGTTGCTTTCTTGCTGCTAGGTTAGTTGTCTTTTGTTGCTAGGTTAGTTATCTGTAGTTGCTAGGTTAGTTGTCTTTTGTTGCTAGGTTAGTTCTTTCTAGGTTAGTTGGTTCTTTCTAGGTTAGTTGTCTTTTGTTGCTAGGTTATTTCTTTCTTGCAGCTAGGTTAGTTGTCTGATGGTGCTAGGTTAGTTGTGTTTGTTGCTAGTTTAGTTGTTCTTTTTTGCTGCTAGGTTAGTTGTGTTTTGTTGCTAGGTTAGTTGTCCGATGTTGCTAAGTTAGTTGTATTTTTTTTTTATAAAAAAATTGTAACCCATAGGATTTGAACCTGGTACCTCATGGAGGCAAGACAAGCAATGCAACCACTACACCACTCAAGGTTGAGTGTCTTTTGTTGATAGGTTATTTATTTTAATACAACGGGTCAACGCCGGAAATCAACGATTCTCGCCGGAAGTCAACGTCGGAAGTCAACGGTCAACGCCGGAGTCAACTAATAATTATTTTATTATTTAATTAATGTATATTTTAATTGATTTTGATCTAGACAAAATGAGTGGCTAAGATTGAGTCTCACGTACTCATTTTAAGGAGTGGTCTCATTTGATTACATATATTTACACATTATGTGATCTCACAGTTGGATTGCCAGTATGGTTGCGGTTTAGTAATATGTTTCTTAATATTCAAATAAGCTATGAAGCTGGTTTTCAGTTTGTGTTGCTATATGCATGAGCTACTGCCCCTTTACTAGTTTCTTTTAGTATTTTGTATTTCATCAATGTTCATTACTTTGGCTTTTCACATTTAGTATAGATTTTTTTTTTTTTGTGTCCTGCTATTGCGAAAGCATGTATATTTTGGGGCTGAATAAATAACAAACATGCTTTGTAAGTCAACTTATGCTGTACATTGGCATTAACGAAATCTTTTAATAACTGTTTTCATGACAATTAAATGATTTTTTTTTAATTTTTTTTTACAATGCAATTCCTATTTCTGCATGATAGTACATCTCTAGCCACTGTATGAAATATTTTTGCATTATGCTAACATCAGGCCACTTTCCAGTGACAGCAGGGTTTGAGTTTAGTCAGTTTATTGTTCATTCATGATGTGGCAGACTGCATTTCGATGCATACTTGACGAGATATTTTTGCATGTATTGTTGGTTATACTCAAATATATAGTAAAATTTTCCGAATGCAGCTGCCCGGACAAAAAATTATAGCGGAGCTGAGCTTGAAGGTGTTGTGAAAAGTGCAGTATCATATGCCCTGAATAGGCAACTGAGTATGGATGATCTTACCAAGCCAGTGGACGAGGATAATATAATAATTACCATGGATGATTTTTTGAATGCCCTTCAAGAAGTAATTCCAGCATTTGGTGCTTCCACAGATGACCTAGAACGTTGCAGGTCTGAATTCAAAGGATTATTTTAAACTATTCTGAATTGTGTGAAATTTTCACGTTTCTCTTTGCTTCCCTTCATCCTGCACTCACCGTCTATTCTGCTCTGTTCTTTCCTGTTGTATCTCCACCTTATCGTTGTCTGTCCCTCTGTGGCTTTGCGTGTGCATGCCGGATCTTGTGCTCGTTAAATGTGTTCTTGGGTGGAAAGTTACTCAATAGTTTTTCGAAATAAAATGCAGGCCCATTGACAACTTAAATATTTTCTTGATTGGTTGAGTGATTCGAGTAAAGAAAAACATATGATTTTTTTAATGATAAATAGTTACTAGAAGCTTGAAGCTTCTCAACTGAATGGTTCTGTCCAGGAAGAACTGATTTGCTCAATAGCTAAAGCTATTACTGTCTGATTCTCACTAGAAACCCTATATGTATACTGAACACACATACTTATAAATGATATTATAATAATAATAGAAGCAAGTATATAAATATCTTCAAAAGGACATCGATCCAAATACCAAAATCACCCAAACATGTAGATTTATTAGATTTATTCTTCTTTCATTACTTTCGTAATTATTATTTATACCGAACCACCTCATTTCCATTAGTGGGTTGATTCCCGAGAAGCTGTTCAGACTTGGAAATGAACAAATGTTGGTTTGTTGTTGGAAGAATATCAGGAGCAGGCAACGGATAAAAGTTGGGGCTAAATTTATCTGGCAAAGGTTCCATGACACCATTTCTGTGGTTGCCCTTTTTCATAGGCATAGGATGACTAAATGAGTTATGATATGGCCTCCTCAGTATGGGTACATGTTCTGCATGAGAATGTGAAATTATTCTCGACTTTTCTCCAATGCCTTCACGCGCCAAAGTGTGACATTTTCGTCGGCACGTCAGACCAATTGATAGGAATAAAGAGTCAAAGAGCATGATATTTTATCAAAGATGAATAATAACCAAAAGCTTAAAGCTTCATTCTGGTTCTGGCCAACAAGAACTACTCTTGCTCGATGGCCAACATGATATTTCTGTGTAGTTTTGCTACTTCATGATTCAATTATTAGGTGTTTCTCTCTTTATTTCATGCATGTATCTGAACGCAGTATAATAAGATTCTTTAGAGGATAATGATCAGATATGCTTCTTGCAGGCTTAATGGCATCATGGAATGTGGTGCACGGCATGACCACATTTACCAAAGGACTATGTTGTTGGCCGAACAAGTTAAAGTTAGTGAAGGAAGCCCACTCGTTACTTGTCTCCTTGAAGGCCCAAGTGGCAGGTAATTACGGGGCATTCCTTGATTTAATACATATATTATTATTTTGTTGATTCTTTTTTATCCATGGACAGTGGGAAAACTGCAATGGCAGCAACAATTGGCATTCAAAGTGATTTCCCGTATGTTAAGATTGTAAATAGTGTTTTTTGTTTGTTGATAATATCAGCATGTCATCAGTTAATTGTTGACCTCATTTTTTTTTTTTATTTTTTTTTTTGACAATTTCTGTTATTGATGTATTGCTAGATATCTGCTGAAACAATGATTGGACTCAGTGAACCTACAAAATGCGCTCAGATTGTTAAGGTTTTGTTCATTTACCAACTTAGCTACATGTGAAATAATCTATTCAATAATTCATTTTGCTCGTTGCCCAATTTCTTTTTCCTTTATTTGAGATAGTCTGCATCCCTTGCTTATTTTTGAAAGAACTTAAAACAATATTTATCTATGCACAAAAGTATGTCTTAATTGTTCTGTGTAACATCGAGCAGCATAATGAGGTACTCTTTCCATGCAGGTATTTGAAGATGCTTATAGGTCTCCTCTAAGTATAATCATCCTTGATGATATAGAAAGGTAACACTTTGATATTGGATGAATGATACTGGGTCATGTGGCAGTCATCATGGTTCTATTTTTTATCTTTATTTGCTTTTGCAGACTATTGGAGTATGTTGCAATTGGGCCTCGCTTCTCAAATTTAATTTCGCAGACATTGTTGGTGCTCCTGAAACGGCTTCCACCTAAGGTATTTTTCTAAATTATTCTCAATCTATTGCTTTGAAATTAACAAAGTTTGAAGCCATCATTGATGTTCTGCCTGAGAATTTATGCAATGATAATCGGGAAATGTTATAGTTAACCACTGGTAGACTTTTTATGCGGTGTCCCAGCTTCATCGCCTTTTTGCTAGAGACAACAAATTATGGAAATCAATAATGCTGGACTCGTCCGAGTCTCAGCAATTGTGAAAAGCTAAAATAATAAATCAGAATGTTGCATGTCTTCAGTTGTTCACTGGGATTGCCTTCAGTAATAATTATAAGCGTGCTCGTCATTTAGATGGTTGCATAAAACTCAATTTAACACCTCCTGTTGTCTTGACCTTTTTTTATTATTTTTTTTTCAAATTTTTACTTTTGTGTTGGGTGAATAAACAATATTGTTCCCTAATATTGTGAAAGAAACTTGCAGTTGATGCCTTTCTACATTATCTAATACTACATGTGTATGTGTCTGTAAGATCATATGCCCAAAAATATGTAGTTAAGTACCATAAAATTATATGTAATTCTATCTAGAAATTGTCAACTCGTCATGGGAGAAAAAAGTACAAGACATACAAAATTTGTTGGATATAACTGCTGCTCGAAGAAATTTTCTGAGATGAATCTTATGGTGGTTTTCCCTTCTCAGGGAAAAAAGGTTCTTGTTATTGGGACTACTAGTGAAGCCAATTTCCTGGATTCGGTTGGAATTCGAGATTCATTCTCAGTCACCTACCATGTCCCGACGTTGAAGACCGAAGATGCCAAAAAGGTAGTCTACAGTCTCCTCCTTTCATCCCTAAGAAAACTTTCCTAAAAATTTGTTTGACGTATCAAAAGTTAAATTGATAATTTGCAGTTTCTCTATTAATATGGGAATGCATTTCATTCTGTAAAGGCAGATCAACCTTTTCCATTTTCCTGAGATTTGTACACACATCTTTGATAGACATGGAAACTGATACCGTCAGACATTGATTCGTTAAGACAATATAGCTGCTGCCTAACTTTGATTTCCAGGGAATTATTCGATTTTTTATGGTTTGACGACTTTACATGGTCACAGGTGTTAGAGCAACTTAATGTTTTCTCGAGTGATGATATTGATTCTGCTGCAGAGGCTTTAAATGATGTAAGTTCCAAATCAGCCCACTTAGGCCCTTTTTACAGTTAATATTACACATGAAATGTACTTGGACCCAAAAATGTATTTAGTGGGTCATCCATATTCCAGTTACAACATTTCTCTGCAAATTTAGGTGGTAACTATAGGCTGAGACTAAACATGATCTTTGCATAACACTCTTGTTTTAATTTGATGTGCTCCACTCTAGATGCCCCTCAAGAAGCTGTACATGGTTGTTGAGATGGCAGCTCAAGGAGAACACGGTGGAAATGCCGAAGCCATCTACTCTGGCAAAGCCAAGATTAACATTTCCCACTTTGACGACTGCCTTCTGGATATCGGCCGGTATTAGAGTGGACCCCACATTGTCTCCGGCAATCAAAGGCTTGTGATCTAGACACAGTGCAAGATGTTGTGGGTTTTTATTTTTGCTTTGCCACTTTCTCATCTTATTTGGTTTCCACATTTTGCATACATCAATTTCATGTGATGCTGAATGAATCGAAACTTTCCAAGTAGGAGAGGATTCTGACCAATCGGTTAAATAGTCAGCTGCTCTACCACTAGGCTATGCTTGGATATAGATATGTCAAAAAATAAAAATAAAAAAATAATAATAAAATAAAATAAAATAAAATAAAATAAAATAAATCATACTCAATTCAAATTCAATCTCACTATTTTTAATATTATCAATATAATTAAATAATAAATAATTGTACCAAACTCTCATGTGTTAAACGAAATGTGCACGTTACTACCCTGTGTTTTGAAAAATGCATCAAAACCCCTTGTGTTTAAGTACTTAGTGCACGGTTTTCCCATTTCGTCCAACTTAGCAGCGTGTGTAAGACACCTTCTCTAGTTGCGAAAATTGTTCAATTTTTTTTTTTTTTTTTTTCTGCAGAATTATTGATTTACCTTTATATCCTCCTGAATTTTATTGCAAAAGCTAAAATTTTATAAAGTATATGAAGTAGGATTCGAACTCAAGTTTCAAAGTAATAGTAACTAGCCCACACAACCATTGAGCTACATGAATGTTGTATAAACTATTGAACATAAATATATTTATCATATAACGGAAATGAATTAAATAAAATAAATAAAATAAATACAAGTCTAATAGGTAAATTTAATATATATTAAATAATAAATAATAATAAAAATAATAATAACATGAAATGTATTAAATTAACATAAAACCAAATCCTACACTAGGGACTTTCGTCTTTACTAAAAGCGTTCTATGAAGTCTCAATCTCTCTTACTACTTCTGACTGAAAAATGGCACCGGCGTAGAAAGTAAGAAAGCCATAAGAGTTCAGAGGTAGTAATAGCGAGTGCCTTGTACTCTGCTTCGGCACTAGACCTGGAAAGAGTCGGTTGCTTTTTGGAAACCCAAGTCAGTAGGGTTTTTCCTAGAAATACGCAGAAGCCAGTCCCGTCAGTGTGTGCTTTCTCCTCCTAGACTAAAGTCCGTGGGGCACAAACACAAGAAAGGTATCTCCTTTTCGGTCTTTCGTTGTTTAACTCACTTTTTCCGCGGAGTTGTTTTTTCTATTTTTTAGACAAAAGCTCTAGTATCTCCCAAGTCTGCAGTCTCTTCAAAGCCAAGGCAAAGATCAAGAGCTAGGACAGGCTAGGACTGAAACGGATAGTAAATTAGTACCTAACTAGAAACTCTAGTAGCGCTAATAGAAATTAAATAAATTTATATTTTTTAATTATATAAATTTTGAAATGAAAAAAAATAATAAAATAAAATTAAAAAATAAATAAAATTGAAATAAAATAGCTAAAATAAAATAAAAAATAATAATATTATAAGATAATAAAGTATAAAAAAAGACAAAGTCAAATAAAATAATAAATCAAATAACTTTTTATGAAATAATAAATTAAAGTAAATAAAAATCTTAAATTAATATAATAAAATAAAAAAAATATAATTTATCAAATACTTGTAATATGATTTACTCTTACATACATTATGAATGAAAAATATTGAAAAAATTATAATTTTTTATTAAATGATTTTAATTGTAAATAAATAGTTTTAATTTCTAAATTTTATTTAGTAACATGTATTTTAAATTTATTTCATATTCTTAAGTTAAACAAAATAAATAAGGTTTGCTGACTAAGATAAAATAAAATCAACAATACAATGTAATAATATGAAATTAATATAAATGAAAATAAATAATAAAATATAAAAATAACCTAAAATAAATACGATAAATATCATTATTTTAATTGTAATTTTTTATATTTATTTACAATTTATTTAATTATTTTGTTTTTGTTTAACACAATAAGTTATTTTAATTATTTTTATTTCGTTTAATTTAATATAATTTAGTTTATTGTACTTTAATTTATCATAATTCTATATTTTAATAATTAATATAATATAATTTACATTATCTTCTAAATTAAATTTCATTTATCCATTCGCAACACATATATTTTAAACTTTACTACACTTAACTCATCTTTGAGTGGTCTGGTGGTTGCTTGGTTGCCATGCTCATAGGGGGAACTCAAGTTTGAACCCCAAAGGCGATTTTTTTTTTAATTAAATTTTTCGCAATATATCTAATATATCGTAATAAATTCAACTTATCGTAAATATATATATAATATTCGAGGGTATAGCGGGGTTTTTGTAAAAAAAAAATTAACACCGTTAACGGAAAAATTGAAAAAAGGGAGCGCATGCACCAATTACTAAAACACAAGGGAGTTTAGTGCATTTTTTAAAACACATGGTAGTAATATGCACATTTCGTAACACAAGGGGAATTTGCTGCAATTTACCCATTAAATAATATCAATAAATCATTATTATACATTACATCAACTTTAATCTACTATTCTCCAACTCATCACTTTCAATCACATCTTTCATACTTTTATATCAAATCAACATTAATAATTTTATTTTAAATATTAAAACTTAAAATCCATTCAAATCTAATTCAATCAAATTTTTCAAAATTAATTTTAATTAACAGAAAAAAAATATATCATCAAGACTTAGGGTATGTTTGTTTATTAAAAAATTCAATTCATACTCAAAATTTAACTCAACTTTAATCAAATCCACTATTTTCAATATTATTAATATAATTAAATAATACAATCAATCATTCTTACACATGCATTAACTTTAATTCACTTACATAATTTTAATTAACCATCATTTCATTATCATTTTTCTCTTATTTTTACATTAAATCAATTTTAATTATTTTATTTTAAACATTACTTTAATATAAACTCAAAATCTTACTAACAACTAACATACCACTTTTTTCAAAATTAACATTTTATAAAAAAAAATCGTTTTGAACGGATATATTTATATATATGCAGGCCCTCAATATATTTATGACTCTATATTCAAGCAAACACATATTAACATGGGCTAAGTAGAGCGCCCTTTTTTCTGTTTTGTGAGTTTTGATAATGTATTATTTGTTAACTAGAAGACACTAGTTTTGCTATGAAGCCAACAGTTGGTTCTATAGTGGAATCAATCTTTTATATACAACAAATAAACGTATTGTAGACATATCATATTATTAAAACTATTAGTATTATTATTAATAAAACCATATCATATTTTCTTATTATCATATTCTCTTATTACTTAAATAAATAATACTAATAGTTTTAATAATATGATATGTCTACAATAGGTTTATTTGTTGTTTATAGAAGGTTGACTTCACTATGGAGCCACATGTTGATTTCATCCTAATTTTGATAATTTAAGTTTGTTTGGAAATATTTATTGAGAAGTCTATTTTAAGATAGACTTTTTGAAAAGTGACTTCTCAAGAAGTGTCTAATATAAATTTATTTGAAATAAACTTTTTGTGGGAGTTACTTTTTTAAAAAATTATTTTATTAATTAAACCAAACATCTTTTTATATAGAAAATAGATTTTTATAAACAAGAGTCCATTACAAAAGTGCTTCCAAACATACACTCAATGTCCACAATACACTTGTATTATCTCATTCTTATCGATGTACCAAGACGTCAACGAGCTGTGTTTACATTGACTGAAATGATATGAACAAATGTTTATCTGGTACTTTCAATTTTTATAGTCGGCTCGGCTCGGCTCGGCTCAAGTACTCATCTCATCTCATCTACCGTTGGTTGTGCGAGCTTCAGAAATCCCGTCCAAAAGCACAAAATACATCCTGAGCTGAAATAAGAATGGCTGATCGCTTTTTCCTCAACACAATACCTCATGAATCGCCAACATCACAACCATCTTCTACTTCTGATTCCCTCACAAAGCTTCTCCACCTCCCCTACAAAACCCTATCTCAGCTGCTCCTCAAAGCAGCTTTGGACCTCAAAGACGCTGTAACTTTTCAATTCATTATATGGCATTAAAGCATTTTTTCCCCCAATCTCTTATCATACTGGTTGTTGTTTTGCTTTGGTTTTAGGTGGTGAAGGAGACATGGATTGCTAAAGGAAAACGTGTGGGCGATTACAGTCTCTATACTGGGGCTCTTGGGACTGCCTTCTTGTTGTTTAGAGCTTACCAGGTTACAGGCGACAACACTGATCTTGCTCTTTGTTCTGATATCATTAAGGCCTGCGATTCTGCGTCTCGGGGCTCTGGGTATGTAACTTCATCTCTGTGTGTGGGAAAAAGTTGGAATTTTCTGAAGTAAGATAGGTCCAGTTATCGATTTGTTTTATCTTCAAATACTCGGGGTTTACTTAAATTTTCCCTAAATTTACTGGGTGGTTGTTTTTATTGTTTTCTTACTATATTTGAAATGATATAAGATTTTTGAGTTGATGTTGGATATCTGTGGGTGTGGGCTATGGTTGAAAAATGGCTGAAATTGTTGTCAAATTTCTCTTGCCATTTTTAGAGCTATGTTGCTTCAACAGAAATAGTTTAAAATGAAAGAGCCAAAGAAGAGCACTATCGATGCCAATGGATTTTGTTCATTGCATGTAGGTAAAAGTGTAATCACTCTATAAGCATGACTCCTATGTTGTCCAATTATAATGGGTGTTAATGATTATTACAAGTCAATGAAGGCACAGTTGATCAATAATGCATCTCATTTGGCAAATATATGCACCATAAGATTTTTATACAAAATAGTTTACTGTAGGCGTGTCACTTTCATATGCGGACAAGCTGGTGTATGCGCTCTTGGTGCTGTAGTAGCACATCACAAGGGTGATGAACAATCATGCCAGCAATACATAACACGGTTCAGAGAGGTAGTTGATCATGAAACAATGTCTAAAATGGTTCGTGCTCAACATAATCTACGATAATTGTTTCTTAATCAATTCTTTTCTGTGTATGTGCTGCTTTGCATTTGTCTTTCGAGTTCAGATTAAGCTCCCCAAGGATCTTCCAGATGAACTGTTGTATGGCAGGGCTGGGTACTTGTGGGCAGCTGCTTTCTTGAACAAAAATATCGGTAGAAGCCCAATATCCTCCACTAGGATGGTTTGTATTATTCTTTTGTTCCTTTTCTTTTTCCTTCTTTTTGGTAAAGTATTTTTTTTTTTTAGCTAAGACTGACATAGAAATCCTTATTTAACTGAGAAATAAATCTATTCAGAGGGCTGTCGTGGATGAAATTATAGACTCAGGACGAAAACTGGCGAAGGGAAAAAAATGCCCATTGATGTTTGAATGGCATGGCAAAAAGTACTGGGGAGCGGCCCATGGGGTGGCTGGTATTTTGAACGTGTTAATGGATATGGATTTAAGCCAAGATGAGCTGGAGGCTGTAAAGGAAACATTGCGTTATATGATTGAGAATCGTTTCCCGAGTGGAAATTACCCATCAAGTGAAGGAAGTGAAACAGATAGGCTTGTACATTGGTGCCATGGGGCTCCAGGTGTCGCCCTTACACTTGTTAAAGCATACAAGGTAGCGGATAAAAATACTTACCTTTTTCTTTTTTTCTCCTCTTTTTTGTATCTATTAACCACATTTCTTGATCTTTTATGATATGTTTTACTTCCTGGACAATTAAAAGGCCAGTCTCTTAAATCGATATTATTTAGGTTAGATAGTAGTACCTTTTGATCATGAATCTTTTGATTCTGTTCACTATCTTTACAATGAAGTGTTTTGTTGTATAAAAAAGTGGATCAGTTAGCCACAGTATTGGTCCAAGAGCGAGAAAAACAAGATTATATTTTAGGTAGCATCTTAGGATTTGCTAATATATGAGGTGGTTTAATTGCAAAACCATCCAAAATTTCAATGTCTAATGAAATTTCAGACACCCTCTTGTATTTATTTCCACTTGACAAATTGCAGCGTCAATGGGATAGTGTTGTCAACAAAAAGCAAACATTGTGTTATAATAAATTAAAAGAAAAGGGAGAAGCTAACTCAAAATATTATCAGGTTTATAGATGTGAAGAGTTTCTGCAAGCGGCAGTCGATGCAAGTGAAGTGGTCTGGCATCGAGGCCTTCTCAAACGAGTTGGGATTTGTCACGGCATAAGTGGGAACACCTATGTGTTTCTTTCGTTGTACCAGCTAACAGGTAGACCAGAGTTTTTATATAGGGCCAAAGCATTTGCTTGTTTTCTTCACGACGGGGCTCAAAGACTGATTTCGGAAGGGGTCATGCATGGAGGAGATTGTCCATATTCACTGTTTGAAGGTATTGGTGGAATGGCTTATCTGTTTCTGGATATGATTGAACCTTCCCAGGCTAGGTTTCCTGGTTATGAGCTTTAATTTACCCTTTTTTTTTTGGCTTCACACAAGTATATATGCTTCGATTTGTGTGTATAGTACGGCATTTTGATCTCTCTAAAAATTTGGGATGGTAATGGTAGCATTTTATTTGGGCATCAGTTGAAGATTTGTAGTTAATATAATGACCATAACAGTTAGTATTTACTCATATATCGTTGGATTGATCATCTCCGAAATTCTGTTCATATATCTTGTTATGAACATGGATTTCGTCAAATTTATTTCATTACGAAGTTTAGCCGGAATAACTTCAATAGTTATGTACATAACCTCCTTTGAGGTTCAATTAGAAGTTAATTCTCAATTCTCAATTGATCACCACCACCCAAAAAGGGAAAATGAAGAATACAAAATTAAAAAGAAAGAAGAAACAAACAGAAGATATAAAGAAATGGATTTTATTATGATACCGACAAATAATACTAGTGCAGAGCCCGTGCGATGCACGTGGCGCACAATTTTATAGTTATTTATTATAGCTTATAATTATATACATGAATAAAGAAAAATGTACGGATATATATAATAATGTACGGGATATATATAGTACGTGACCCGTGCGAGGCACGGGATATATTTATTTGGGAATATTATATTATAAGATGCAATATTAAATAAAAATTTTCTAATACGTATGAAAATTGTACAATAAGATAGTATTGGATGAAAGACCTATTACCTTGTTTGATTAAGCTAAATCCTTGATTCATTATTTTGAATGAAATGCTGATTGGGGATATTTTTTTCGTAGGAGGTTGAAACTGAGGAAGACGATGACTCAATATTTTGAGATTTATAATTTATAATTGGTAGAGTAAAATCAATATCTGTTAAGATTTTTAAGAAAAATTCTTGATATACGGAAATCACGTAGATAAGATTTTCCATACAATTAGATAAGATTTTTTGTACAAAGATAAGAAGAAATTTTAAATCTACACAAATCATAAATATTAGATGTATTGATTTACGTAAATCAATATCTATATAGATAACCAAACCCTTCAATTTAGGTTTGACATCTCATTTATTTTGTGTAAAATCAAGATTTTATCTTCCGATCAAATATGCCTTTTTTTGTTTTACGTACATTTATTTTTTGTACCGATTTTATGGGAAAAAACAATTAAATAAAAATTAATTGATAGAAATAGAATGCATTAATTACTTTTGACTTTTCTTTCTACTAAATCTAATAAATGAGATGGCTCTTTATATAAGTATAGATTAAATGTTCGAAAAATTGGTATTCAATGTATGTTGTAATGTATGAATAAATAATATGTATTGTGATAGCTAATAATTGAAATAAACTAAAAAATATATAAAAATAAGTAATATTCAAATATAATATTAAAAATTTCGAACAAAGTTCTACTCGATGAAATGAAAAACAGCATCTACACAATGCGGCTGTTAAAAATAAAAAAATAAAACTAAAACTATAACCTAAATTATTTTAAAATAAGATAGCAATCATAAGAATTCAGTTAATCTTGTTTAGAATTTTTAATTGTATAATAATCATTATCTTTATTGTTGTAAAATAGATATCTGTTAGGAGTGCTGTTCAAAATCATACGGGATCAAATTGTTAGGTCCGAGTTTGAAGGCCAACATAGCAATTAAAGAGTCTGGTGAATCAAATACTTCTTTAGAATTTTTATTTGTAAAATAATCTTTATCTTTATATTTGTAAAATAAATATCTTTTAGGATAGCTATTCAAAATCATACGGGATCAAATTGTTAGGTCCGAGTTTGAAGGCCAACAGATTAATAATGTCCGAAAATCTATATTTAGTAGGCATTAAATGTATTTGGCGGGAAATAACTGCTAAAATTGTTAAATGGTTAATCTATTTATATAATGATAAATTAATATCGGCAATAATTAATCAATATCCATTATAATAAACTATAGATTTAATTTTTCGTCACTCGTATTGATTATTTTATTGTCAAAATAGAAATAAAAACATATTTTAAATTCTAAGCATATTATTTTATTCGCAAATATTGACTTTTCATCCTAAATATTTATAAAAAATTGTAACATTTTAAGTAATTTTTATTCTTCATATTTATTTCATTATATATATATAAAAAAAAAAATTATTCTTCAGGTTAATATAATTTGTCATTTATCACATACATTAGTTAATTTTACCAGATAATAAAATTAACTATAGTATATTATAGTTAACCATGAATTTTTTTTATCATTTTTTATTTTGATTTCTTTCCATAGTGAAATTCTTTTAAGATATATTTTCATTGCAAAGTATGAATAATGAACTATAAAGACGTATGGTGCAAATTAAAAATCTCTTGATTATAGAATGGATTTAGTTTTGACAATTACTAAATCAAAGTTGTTTAATTATTATAAAAAAAATATATTCTAAAAAGACATTTGTGCATATTTTGTAAAATATTTGTGCGCAATGTTTTATTTTAAATTTATTTACATAATTTAAATTAATTATATTAAAATATAACTATACACTAAATATTTTCATTACATAAAATAAAAAGAAGAAAAAGACCACATCTATAACTTTTACAAATAATAATAATAACATTATATTACAACAAAATTTATAATAAAATAATATTTGAGTATTATACGAGGAATAAGAATAAGTAAAATTGGTACTTTTTTTTATACTAAAATCAAATTTATATTAATAGAAATCTGTTAGCGGGATAATACATTAATTAATTCACGGGCTAGCGCTAACAGACTTAGATTTAACGTCTCGACAAAAAAATGACGCTGATGAAAAGAGGTGAAAGTTGAATGATCCAACTCTATTGTTTTTTAGGTCTTAACGAACAAGTTCTATGAAAATTATTCATTTAATATCTTTGTCTAGTGCATCGCACAAGCTACTTAACGAACAAGCTCTATAGAAATGATTCATTTAATATCTCTGTCTCATGCATCGCACATGCTACGTACTAGTTATTCTTGATTGAGAGTAAAATTAAAATTCATCCAAACCAAATGACAAAGCTTGAAAATTTGCCACATAGGACCCCAAAACATGCAAGTCTGTCTCTTAAGCTTCGCAAATTCGAGAATTATATATAAGGGATATAACAGCTTTAAAACGGATCCATTCCCTTGAACTACATCCAATGATATTTTGCTATATCATCTAAACCCATGTACTTGAATGTAAACTAATTTTTTCACAACTGTTATCCTGCTGCGAGATTTTATTTATTTGACTTTTTTTATATTTTGGCAACTATCTTCTTATAGTAGAAAATAATGTTGGTGAAAAATAAAAATAAATCATATATCTGTATTTTAGTATCTATACCTACACACTATTAAAGACAAAAAATCTATATAAATAACATGTGAAAAGCTTGGACCCTTGGATTACAACTAGGCTACAAACAAGTCTGAGTGGCTCACAAGCAGCTAGCGATCACTCGAGTTAACGCTCGATCAAGTTCGAGTTCGAGTCTAGCTCAAGCAGTTCAATCGAGCAAATTGGTCGAGTCTCGAGCATCATTTCAAAAGATTCGTAAGCTTGACGAGTCGCTCAAATTTTTATTTACGTAAATACACCGTATAGTTTACTTATTAATATTTGAATACCAAGGCCAAAATTGTCTGTTTAGATTAAAAATATTACATTTATATTTAAAATTTAGTTGTTATTTCGAGCCGAACCCGAGCTATGTCGAGCATCGAGTTGAGCTCGACCTCCAGCTCGAGCAGTGAAAAAACAAATTCGATCTGCGCTCGACAAGATTCATGCTCGACTTAACTCAACTCGTTTGCAACACTAAATTTATAACAAAATAATAAATAGTATTATTTTATATGCAGAATAAATTAAAAAAAAATCATCCTTACAACTTGGATTAATATCACAGAAAATAATTATGATATAAGGCTATATATAAACATTCAAAATTTAATTTAAATAACTTAAACTGGTACAATACCCGTATATTACACGAATGCTAGTTAGGAAATTTAAATTTAAATATAAAAAAATAAGGAATAGAACTATTTGTTTTAAATTATATATATATATATATATATATTTAAAAATGTACTACTATTTATATTTAAAATGACATATGTTGCTTGTACGACTTACCGCCTTGTAGTATAATAATTTTTCTAATAAATGAAATAAACTTAATGAATAATAGTTACCAAGTATACCCAAATTAAATAAATATAAAAATTAATTTTATTATGCACATACCATAATTGTTAGACATGTAAAATATAATAAATGAAACAAACTTAAAAATATTTTAATATTTTTATCATATTTAAAAACTGAATGTTAGTTTAAATTTATGGTATGTTTATTAATATTATATATTTTTCTTACATTACACGTGAAAAATAAACAAAACATAATATACTTTTTTTGTTTAAAAAGAAAGTTGTAATAGAGGTGGGAGAGCTCTATATCATGTGCTTTAGTCTCCACCTTAATATTGTGGTCTTGTATCTATCAATGGATAATAATATCCACTACAATCCTAAGGTGTATAATTTAAAGACGACACGGTACCGTTACGGGACTACAGCCACTCCCATTAATTATTTGGTCA